AAAAATCAGCTTTAAACGTCAAGCAGTTTAACCAGAATCGTGATTACTCAATGGTCATATTTTATGAAACACCCTGTATAAATTTTTAAAAAATCTTAAAATATGTAAAACAACAAAATAAAATATACGTGTTTAAGAGTTTTTACGAAAAACTCACCGGTTTTTAGTCAATCCGTTTTTCAAAAATCAGCTTTTTACGTCAAGCGCTTTAAGCAGGATCGTGATTAATTTTTCGAAACACTCTGTATACATTTTTAAAAAATATTAAAATATGTAAAAGACAAAATAAAATATACGTGTCCAAGCGTTTTTCGGAAACTTGTATTGTAATATTTGAGAGATGGTTTCACCCCCTTGGAACTGGAATTTCGAAAAACCCCTTCTTATCGAACCTCTACACCCTAGAATCAACCTGTATGCCAAAATTGAGCTTCTTCAGAGAAAGAGGTTTCGCTGATTTATATAACAAACGCAGAAAAATGTAATTATACGCAGCGTAAACTACAGGAAAATACTGTACAACAACTAAATATTCGCGTGTCACAAAAAAATTCAGAAAAATCAGAAAATAAACAAAGTAAAAGCTGTTGGTATATCGAACGCAGAAAAATGTCGCAGTTACATACAACGACAAAAAAATCAATTGATAATCAAACGACAATAGAAAACATTAAAAAATAAACGATGTAAAACACAAACCAACAAGACCCCATCTTCCCCTGAATGTTTTGTCTAATTTAAAGCCCACAATGAAGGGTCTCTCCCCTCGCAAACACAAAACGATTTACGACGAAGCTTCATCCATTGAGGCGAAATGAATTTCTGTGTTCGTTTTCTCTTATTTAATTCGTTTTTAATAATAAGTACCATACGGAATATAGTACCCTACGCCCACGTGCGAAACTCATTTCGTTATTTAATAATCGTAAATCTAGCGAGAATAACTAGCAGACGAAATATACAGGGTGTTCAGAATTAGAGTTTCTATACGGGTTTTTGTAAACTCTGAAATCTCTTCCAATAAATTAACGCACCACAAAAAAATTACCAAAAGTTTAAGTTAATTTTTTATCAAAACCACTTATCCGATTTGGTCGCTTTTTTTTTGAATGATAGGTTATTCTTTCCACAATGTTGCTATACTAACTGTATTTTGATAGGAACCCTTTTTATACTCATACCGGGTGTAGCAATTATAATGTGTTTTTTTAATAAAATTTGTGACACCCTGTAGAGTTGATCAGTTACAGTATCAAGTTAAAATTGAAATCACATTTTAGCGTTATCTTTTTTTTACATTTTGGTTTTTTAATTACTCCATTATCTGCCTTATCACACGAGAAACAACGTTTTATAGGATGACATGATTTAATATTGGTTTTAATTAACATTTTTCTATTTTACTCACTAAAGTAAGTAGCAGACTATGGAAAAACACGGATTACCAATAAATGTCAAATAGAGATGCTAGTTTCTGTGCAAACTTGTAGACCATTAGTCTTTCTGAGCTGAATTTGAAGGGTCCGAGCTGTTACGAAACGTTGTCTTAATGTTGAGTTTTAAAAAACGTTCCTGAATCGGATTGGTTCTTCGATTCCTGCCTTGTCCCGGCCTGCAATAATTACTCCCAATATTTCTATACCGTTGTATAACTCGTGAAATGGTTGAGTTATATTAAATCGTTCACCAATTCTTCGGTAGCTCCAACCTTCCTCAGACAATATTAGTGCTTGAGCACATTCTTAGCCAGAAAGATTTCTTGTTTCACGTGCACGTTGCATATTTTTGATATAATAAAAGGACGAAAACGACTGACACTAACAACAAGCATCTCTATTTGACATTTACTGGTAATCCGTGTTTTTCCATAGCCTGCTACTTACTTTAGTGAGTAAAATATCTTGGATCAAGTCAAATCAATATATATGGTTGTTTATCTATAGCATATGTTTATGATCATTACTAAAAACACTTAAAAATCAATTAAGAGCCAATTGACTAAAAATCCAAGGTGCAAATATTTGACTGACTCTTACGAGTTTAAACTTAAATACAAAATTAACCAAAACAAAAGTAAAATAAAACACTAATTCACTATAATACATCAAAACACTTTACATTTAAACAAAGGCTTTATTCTGGTGAATTAGTGTTTTATGTTGCTGTTGTAACACCAAAGGTTCCAACACTCAACTGTAATCGAAACAAAAGTACTTAACTTTTCAAGAGGTATATTTTTTATAGACGTCGCATACAAGAAAAACAACTAATTTAAAAAATATAAATCAAGTACTTAATTTTTGACATACTGATAAAGCTGTCATTAGATAAAATCATAGTTTAAATTCACAATTACTACTTAACTATTGGTACAGTCTTTCCAAAGTCAACTGAACTCGTTTAAGATTTAATGAAGAATGCCGATAAAGACATCGCCTAAATTAAGAGCCTCAAACCAGTCCAATTAACTTTGAAAAACTATACCTGAGTATCTGAGTAAAACAAAATAATAATAGTTTAAAAAACTATAAAACGGTTATAGCGGCCATATTATAGCAGATCGAAATAATAACAATTATTATCTCAGAGTTTAAAATAATAGTAATGATGACAAAAAAATATGTAAAAACCATACTTTTATACTAACACAAAATTTCAGGAATAGTTACTAATGGAATGTCCATAAAAATAATTATTACTATAATAAGTGAATATATTTCAGAAAAAAATAAAAAGTTTATACCCCAAAAAGTTGTTGAAAATTACCGCTTTTTGTGAACATATCCAATAATTTTACATTGGCACATTTTGTGATCAATTGGCAGAGTACCACCCGGTACGAATGAATATTGCGAGCCAGTAATATATCAGAAAATAATTTGCTGTACGCGTTCGTTACTTATAAATCGTAACGCGATGCCAAATGGGTTTTTAGTTTATTTCTTTTGTTCCCCTTCGTTTAATACCTACACGTAGATGGGGGCCAACAACACAGAAAAATATATACCTACATCGTTTTGAGCTTTATATTCCTTCTTAATGATTTTTTTTTGTTTAATATACGTTTACATACAATCAATAATTTACACGTATATAGATAGTCTTATAAGGCTAGTAAAGACGTTAAGTTTCGTTGTAGTAATGAGGGTACATAATCACCGAGAAATATTGATGTTGACCTCACAAATCATAGATTTTAAATAATTTCCATATTACTCAATTTCAGCCATTTGCTATGCTATTTTGCGAGAAAACTGTAAAATAATAACCTCTCTATTTTCTCTATAAATTCACCTTAAAACATTTGTGATTTTTTACGAAAATTTTTCGGAAATGTGAAAAACAAAGATTCAACCATAGACAAACAAATAAAAAGAGACTGACAAATCTCATGGTAAAGAGTGGGACCGCGTTCCCGTAGCGCAACTCAGAATAACAATTTTGAAACCAATTAGCAGGACCATGGCAGCACGTACGTCTTTATTGCTATCTTTCTTTATTATGTGCTTTATATTAAAAAGAAAGAGATAGGTATAAAACGTATCGTAAGACATTATCGCTCATTCTGGCTGGCGGAAAATTTAAATTAGCCATTATTAGTAGTATTCTTTCATTCTGAAACTGAAAATTTTCACTTAAACTGATTATATTCCCTATACCACGTAAAGGGAACGTGGTATAGGGAATAAATCAGTTTATGTGAAAATTTGCAGTTTCTTTCAGAACGAAAGAATACTACTATTATAAAGGAAATTATAAAAAAATCAAAAATTGTACTGTTTTATAAACATATTTATTTATACATAAAAATAAGTAAACTTTTTATAATATAATAACAAAAAATAACAGTGTTTATTCCACCCATCCACCAATTTTAAATGCAAAAGAACTGACTGTTGCAGGAAACGATCGGCCAATTTTTTTAAAGGGCATTAAAAATCTCATTTTCGAAAAAACTGCCTAATTGCAATAACAAAGTGAATATCCAAGCAAAGAAGACTTTACGAGAATCATGATCCTGAAACATTTGTAAGTTTAAAAAGTTGGAAAAGTAAAATAGGTATATTAATAAAGTTTCTGGTTACTATAAACCAGCTATAAACTACCTACCCAAAAAAATTAAAAAAATTAATTGTATTAATTTGTTATGAGAGGTTCGAAATATTTTGGACACTACTACTTGTACTTTTTTCTTAATAAGATGATAAATATAACTACTTACTTTTATTTTACCGGGTGTCTTTAACATATCTATCAGAGAAAGGGGGCACCAATACATATAAAAAATAGATGATACTGGCTCCTGCAGCAAATAAAATAACAAATAGTATAACCGAAAATTATAAGTAACAAAATATAAATACCTATATGGAACAAAGGAATTTGTTCGCTATCCATATTCATAAGTCAATAAAATGGAGAGTTTAGAAAAAAAGGTAAATCACCAAAAGAAAAATTAACAAACATGACGAATTGTCATGATGTCGTCATCTTGGTTGTCATGATAACGAAAACGAAAGGTGATTGTTCTAATTTCTATTTAGAAATTACGTTTTATATGACTGCTTCTTTCTCTCTTGTTATATTAGAATGAGATAGTGAGCCCAATAGACGCAATGCGCAGATCAACATAAATAGAACGAAATTTTGCGTTCTGAGTTGCGCTACGGGAACGTTGTCCCTCTCTTTGCCATTTAATTTGCTAGTCTCTTTTTATTTGTTTGTCTACCACATTTTGACGTCCTAATGTGATAGAAAAACAAAAATAACCTCTTTTGTTCTAATCTAAAAATTTCAGCTACAGCTTTGTATACATATATCGATAATAAATATATATCGATATATCATTGCCATCCCTATACTCTAACCACAATGTGTACGAAATTAATAAAAACAACCCTAGAAAATATTAATGTTTCTTTTATTTAAAGACCCTGTGTAACAATGTAGCCACAGATTACTATCGCAGTCATGCAAATGACCCCATTTTAATGACTTACCATGACGTAGTGCCTTTGCATTTCGGTTTTCTCGTTTGCCAATTTCTCGCACTCCAATTTTAACCTGAAAAAAAGGAGACAATAGTTAATGACGGCTATTATTCGATAATTGCAGGTAACAAGGGAATTTCTTTTTCTCTCTTTTGTTTGTTTTTTGATTCTAATCTCTGACATAAGTGGTCTCCGTCAACGACTGATGAGATTTTAATTAGTTTCGTAAATTTAAGAGAAATCTAAAATCAGATGTGCCTAGATCTGATTAATTTAAAAATTTGATAAAAAAATTGCTATGAAATTTTGACGTCCATTGTTTAGGGATAGGTTTTTTCCAATACCACTATAAATAGTTATTTTCTTCTAGGAGATGCAAGATCTTGCCGTTGGTGGGGGAGCTCCCAGTCGAGTGCCTCTCAGGGTTGCCACAAGCTACACAATTGTGTACTTTGCTACACATTTGCTTCAATGATTGCACAGCTACACCACAATCGCCTGAGTTACACCTTTTGAAAATTTGCATATTTCGTATAAAAAGTAATAGCAGAACAGTAAATCAGCTAACAAAAGCTGATTTTTTTTTGCTTTTAAGTTATCTAAGTTACATCAAAAGAGACCGCAAATGTACTTTCATTTTTTTTTCAACTGATAAATATAATTTTCCGTCATCAGTGTTTAGGTGTTCAGTAAATTGTCAAAAGTATTAACTGGGTTATGAGTGAAGGATCAATAGACAATAGCCAAAAACGGTAGGCAGCATTGCTTAATCCCTTAAATAATGCATAATACATACTTTGGCCAAATTTCAATGCTCAATAACGTCACTGTAGATCAGTCTCACTTCCACTCGTTTGCATACGTGAATATTTTTCAATTCCAATTTCACTTCCTCCTATGTCAGCAAAGACTGCAGTTTCAATGGACAAATTTGGCCGATTGAACAGTCCTGAATACTTTACAGTTTTTAAACAGATTTAACGGGTCTAATTTGTCTATAAAATCATTAATTTCGCGACATCAATTTTGACGTCACTGCAATCCTTGTCATGAGAGGAAATGAAATAGGAAATGAATATATTGACGTATACCGTATACCTACAAACGAGTGGAAGTGAGACTCGTAATCATACTTTAAAATTTGATGAACGTACGTCTTATTGGATAGTTTACACTAGTTTACAGTTATTGGTACAGATAACTATGTTATCTCAACCTCCGTAAACTCGTCTCAAATACTGGCATTTGTCAAAAAACTGAGACTGTATGATGAGTTATAACTCAAGAGAGGAGGACACAATAGATAAAGGGATATAAAAGATAAAGAGATAAAATAAAGGGATATAAAAATATCTATCCCATACAATCTACAAATCTACAATAATTTATTAGAATAGCAAAATAATATCAGTTATTGAAATTTTGTTCTCTTCTAGGTCTCTTCGTGAGAAAGGCGCCGTTATTTAAGAGACACCGTGTATATTGAGTCTATTACAACCAGAATAAGACATAGATGGATGGTATTTTAAGTGCAGACAGACGATTTTTCATTACTAGAAAGCAATTACCGATGCGAATTTCTCACGAAAAACAATGGCCATCGCCAGTCCGATAAATCTCTATTATTATTTATGATTATTTTCTTAGCCAGTATCGCCGTTCCTCACTTCCGTAATTGGCAGTTAGTTTCTAAATAATTATATATGACCAGTGGCGTGCATATAATGTAGGAAAATATATGCGTTGCCTACCTCAAACCAAATAAAATGTTACTTTTCATGTTATAACATATAATAAATCAACTAATTACTAATCCAACAAATAGTCGCAATAAACATTTTTTATCTTATTTCCGTTACCTAAGATATACCGTATGATCGAAAAAAAAACGGCCCGGGAAATTATAGAAAGATTAAAAAAGGATAGAAAGTTTCCAAACACACAATACATAATTAATTACTTATGCTATTTCTATCACTTTAACCAGTACTGTACGCCACTGTATTTGAAGTGGGACGCGAGAGGAAAAGGCGAGATGCGATGAAAGGAGCGAGTTTCAGACAATAAAATAAACTGCATTGGCTGTAATTGATTCTAGATCTATCATTAGACGTAACGTGCTCTTTTTACGTTTCTTCTTCCTATCTATTATCATTAATGTTGCTTGTTGTTACTACGTCGATGAAGTACAGGCAGTGGCGGGTCCTCAATAAATGTACATGAAGCCCTAAATGTCTAAATGTAACACCTAGTGATGTAAAGAGTAATATTACAGGGGTAATGTTACCGGTAATTTTGATAATATTACATAATATTACCGCAAGATCGGTAACATTAAAAATATTGATTTTTTCCCACTCTACTCTTTTTCATTTGCCCAGCTCTAAAATAAGTATGTTGGCTCTAGATCATAGATAAATGTTCTCTAGACATTTTAACTTAACATAACTCCCATACAATCTACATGTACAACAAAACTCTCAATCCCTATATCAAAGTTTACACAATTAAAATATATATGCCCAGCAAGAGACACGATCCATTAAAAATGAGTTGATACGAGTAAAAACAGCCTGAAATACCTCAAATGAACTGTTTTTCATTTTTCCAATTCCAACATCCAAAAATTCTTCAGTCAAAAATGCATTCATCAAAAGTAGTATGGCAGAAAAGTTTGTTTCATCAAACATCAAAATGAAGAAATTTGTCATAATTTCTTCTTCTATACTACTGTTTATTGTAGCTGTAGAGGTTGTTTGCGAGGGGGGGGGGGGGGGTTAATACCGCGACCTTATAGATCTATTGTGTCCCCCTTTCTTGAGTTATAACACATTACAGTTTCGGGGCTTTGACAAAAGCCAGTATCTGAGACGGTTTTACAGAGGTTGGTGCTTCAACTCCGAAATCAGTCGTACCAAAGTTTATGGCATGAATGGTTGTCGTCTCGGTGCACTCAGTAATGAGGTGTTCTGATGTTTCCCCATTTTCCCCACGCAGAATCTGCATTCTCCGTTCTTTCTTAGCTTCAATCTACTGCAGGGTTCCCAACTTTCAAAATAAAATTTATTTAGCGTATGGCATATCAAGACACAAAGTACGTATATGACAAAAAGAAAAACAAATACAAACGAACATTTAACAAATTTATATAATCTATTGATTCTGGAGTTGCCAACAGGAAATCTTCTGGTCTGCCGTTATAAGCCGTTTCGGGGCATTGCTCCTAGTAGTGGGAACTATCGAATGAATACTATCGAAACATTCGATAGTTGCAATTCATTCGAATAATTCGATAGCTAGTAAAAAAACATTCGTTGAAAACTATTCGAATAAAAATTATCGAATAGATGCGTCATCTGCCTTGAAATATTGTATTCTAGTAATTCGGCAGCAAAAACCATTAATTTATAAAATTCATTCATTTATGAAATTCATTTATTTGTTAGGATCGATTATAATAAAATATTAACTGGATTTTAGTTGTCGCCCGGCGACGTAGGTTTCTTACCGAGAAACCCGACAGCGGTCGGTGGCAATGCTATGAAAGAAGCTGGCATCTTTGATTTTTTGCGGAGTCAAATAAAGATGAGGACACATTATTTTTTTTTATTGAGGTGCTAGTATTTACACAGAAAATACATTATGAAGGGCGCTGTTGCCATATATTCGTATTAGTTGGTATTAGCAAAGAATATTATTCTTTAGCATTAGTTAGTTAGGGATAGTATGTCTATATATGTTTTGCATTTTTTTATTAATATTCTGTTGTTACACTGCAATAATACTTTTTATTTTGGATGTAGAAAAATGATTTTTAATGTTTTTAAGCAAAGACTGGTTTTATAAATAATAATAACAGTTAAAATTTGTTATACCTATTAACAACAAAATTTAAAATCATTTAATAATATAAACATTTTTTTAAGTAGTAGCAAAATATAAACAACAAATAGAAGTCAAAAGTATTTATATTAGATCCTATTTAAAAATAATATAGTCTCTAAATGGCAACGTTGGTTTATTAAATAATAATAATTACAGAAATAATTTGTTATATTAACAACAAATTTTAAAATCATGAAATATAAACATTTATTAATTTTCTAAGCATGCAGTGTAATGGAAGGAAAATATAAATAAAAAATTAGAAATCAAAATTATTTATACTACTTTTTATTGCTTTAAATTATATATTAAAAATAATATTTACTTTTACTGGCATTTACTTTAAAAATAAATGAAATATTTCTTCGCAAAAAACTACTGTAAGTGAATTAGAATAAACAAAATACAAACATTGTTAACTTTTTTTTAAAATTGGCACGTGTAAAACTTTCAATTTAATTTTATCACCCCAAAATTTGAGTTCGATAACCTTTTTTACTTAACCACATTACTTAAATATCATTATTAAGTTCAACTAATTCATATTATTAAAACATCTAAAATACAAATATGTATTTTAAAATTAATTGTAAGTTCATCTCATCTCTCTTAAAAATTGCTACTTCTCAAAATTTCCCATTAAAAAATGCAATCTAACCTAACCATAATATACCATATAAAATTAAATAATTGAAAGATCGGGCTACAGAAAATCACACAAATTTTCGGAAAAATTTTGACCACTTCGCACACAATCGTCAATTAAAAAAAACTACTATTTTAGTATTTTAAATATTTTAATAAACGCAAAAATAGCATAGTATTTACAAGACGAAGTTATAAAAATTTGGAAAAACTAATAATGCACTGACGCACACAAAAATCAAACGAATACTAAATTTCATTTATCAAAAGCATTCGATAGTCGTGGCTCGTGGCGCAACGATAACCATTTAGTCGCACGGCGAGGTTGTCACATATGCTTTAGTATACAAATGAATGAATGATTTTATTCGAATAAAACTATTCGATAGTTGAAATCATTCATTCAGGAACCATTCGATAGTCTAATTCATTCGATAGTTCTCATCGCTAATTGCTCCACGATATGTTTGATGGTTTGATTTTTGCCGCACTCGCAGGAGGGGCTTGGACTCTTGCCCCATTTGTGTAAGGTATAGGCGCATCTGCCATGCTGCGTTCTAATTCTGTTTAGCGTGCACCAGGTTTTTCTTGGTAAGTCGAAACCTGGTGGTGAATTGCCACCAGGCATGCATGGCATGTCACTGTTTTGTTTCGACGTCCATTCCTGATACCAAGCGTCGGTGATGTTCCATTCGTCTTCAATTGCATTTAGTACGGTCTTGGTGGGTGGTTTTCTGGATCGAAGACGGTTGTGGTTAGCATCCTCGATATCTGTATGGATCGGTAGTTCTCTATTATCCAATATCGTGTTAAACTCTCTGTACAGAGCATTTATGCGGCGCAGACTTGGGGGTGGGATGTGACTCAGTACTGGAAGCCATTCTGTGGGTGTGGATTTCAAAATAAAAAATAGAGAACGAGAGGATGAAAAAGAGGCGCAGGCGAAATATTTTTTGAAACCTGATATGTAGAATTTACCAAAAAGTTATGTCAACAGTATGCGGTTGATGGTATTTCTTAAGGTGCGTATTCATTATCCGCACGAACGAACGAACGAACGAACGAATGTTCGCTAGTGGTATGGACGGGGACCGCACGATAGGACCGCACGAGAAGACCGGAGGCATTTGTTGGCGAACGCCTTTGATGTACCGACTCGAAACGGATGGTCGAGCGAACGAACGAACGAACGAACGAACGGCCGCATGCGTTCGGTCCCCGTCTAAATATACCGCACTTTCATTCGTTCGTTCGTTCGTTCGGATAATGAATACGCACCTTTACATTCTTAAAAATATTTATACTCAAAACTCTTAAAATAAAACAAACCATTTTCAACAAACCTTTTTTAAAAACATAGCATAAACTGTTTTTCCCTTCCACAAATATTTCTTCATTTTCTTTTCTGTACAAACGAGTGGAAGTAGCGAAAGACACAGATTAACAATTGTTTAAAGCATTGTGGCAATAGATGAATATTTTTTAGATTTTGAGTTTGATACGTAAAAAAAGAGGACTTTTTCAATACCTGATAGAAAAGAGGACAGTGAGATCAAAAAGAGGACTGTCCTCTGGAATAGATGACGGTTAAACCTAATCTATTGAGGTGTTCATTTCAGGAGAGTGTCCTGTTAAAAAAACCGTGACAATCCGAATATTGTTTTTACTTAAATCAAGGAAAATCTTCGATATTTTTCGGTCGTAAATTCTGAAAAATGTATTCAAGTTCCTTTAGATCCTTGGAAGATTCCCATTCCAGTTTACGGATAGAGTCTTCCAAAAGTTCTTGAGTTTCGCTTTAAGTTGGTTTCCACTTGGGAAGCAAAACAAAAACAAAATAGAAGCTAATGAAAAAGCAAACGATCTAGCTAGAAAAAGAGCGAATTCCTTTTTATTATAATAAGAGTATATCATAATAATATAATCACACGCTACAAAAAAATGACAACGAACAACCATATAATTTCAATCATATAAATTGTCTTTCACAATCAGACAGTGAAACCCGTCATTATCCCCAATTAAAAGTCCTTCGTCAAACTGTATGATTACCCCAATTCTATGTAAGCCCTCCCTAAATACGAAAAAATCCTAAATTATACCCATTTCCCCCCTTAATCCCCCGCTCGAGCTGTTTCTCCTCCGAGAAACAATCAGTCCGCCAATTACCCCAATAAACTGGAAGAACAAAAGAACTAAATATTTCATTGGCATGGTCGGGTGATCGCGGACTGCGAGATGACGCGAAACAATGCGCGAACAATCCGAAACGAAGAGAGAGAAGCAAGACGAGAATAGACAGGGGCGTACTCGAAAAGAAGAGTATCCTGAAACATTCATTTCTTTAAATAAATCACAAGTGCAGTGCGATATATCTCCGTTATTAGCAAAGATAGGAGGATGCGGTTTGCACAAACCTGTCCCAATTTTTTGTCAAACGAAAAATACTGCAAACAAAATTTTCACAGCCCTCTTCGTTTCTAAGCTACAGGGTCTTTTCGAAAATTTTGCAATTTGGGACAGCCCCCGTATCTCTGTTATTATCGATGATATCGCGAAGGTGAAAACTGATTCTTGTAGAACTTTTTACGTAGAATACAGTGGCGTCTGTTTTTCTACGAAAAAAATATTTTGGAAAATATGAACTAAAGTTATGTTTTTTCAAATGGAACACTCTGTATATTTATAAATCTGGTATCTGGTAGTTTTTTGATATGAGAAATTTGATTTTGATGTCAATATGACTCCTATTTGTAGGGGGCGCCACCTACATGTGTTTTAACTGTTTTGAAGAGTAATAACTTTTCGTCCGTACCTGTATAAAACTACGGAGTAAAAAAATATACATTTACGACATTTTTTACGTAATAAAGGTCTCTTAGTAAAAATCGCTAGGAGTAATGGTTCTCCAGATATTTGGAATCGAATTTATCAATACCTGTCATAATTGACATAAATTAAACATGTTGACTAAATAGTTTTTAGACAGAAATCATAAATTTGAAATGTTTTTGTGCCAAAAGTTCAACAGAAACTGTTTATCATCATTTTCAGTCAAAAAACGTGTTTATTTTTTTGTCAATAATGACATAATATATATGTATTGATTGTTTCAATTCGAAATATCTTGAGACCGATTGCTCGTAGCGATTTTTACCAAGAGATACTTTTTATGTAAAAAATCACGAAAATGTATATTTTTTGAAACAGTCGTTTTATACATGTACGGACGAAAAGTTATTGCACTTCAAAACAGTTGAAACACATATAGGTGGTGCCCCTACAAATAGGAGTCATATTTATATCAAAATCAAATTTCTCATATCAAAAAACTCCCAGATACCAATTTTCATCGAAATATTGACGTTACTTATTTTGAAAAAATCGAAATAAAAAAGAAACTTTTACACCCTGTATCTCCGAATCTCAGCATTTTAGGACATACATTTATACGAACGTTTTTACTCATTTTTATCTGGAGAATATGCTGCCGAAGTTTCCGGAATACAGTTCGGACCACCCTGTATATTGCATAGGCGTATAATTAATTATTGTTAGTAAAGTTAAAATATACTTACGAATGATACTGTGCTTGTAAAAAGTTAAATTCCTCCTTGATCCTTTCTAACGTGTCCGCTATGGTAAATTTTAACTGACCACCCTGAGGTGGCGGACCCTGTAACAAAAAAAAATACAATTTCAATTAAATATCCCAAAAAAAAATTATGAACAAAAATTTTCCGTCCGTCCCTGTTCGACAATCGCTTTAATAACACAGACATAAGCTTTTCGGGTCGAAATTCACTAAATTCCCTTTGTTCAGGCCGAAACCGCGCAACGGGCGACGACGAAACACCGCGCAGGGCCGTATTCGGCAATAATTCGATCGGCCACGAAAGTAAGCCGCCATTAAAAACTTTCACGATAATTATTTGGCGAGAGCTAAGTCCCGGAACGACTTCATTATGGCTAATTTTATCGTTCACGAAATCGTGTCTCCGAGTTTGATGTGTATGTGTGCGAGAGTACACAACGAAACGGGCCGTTTTAATAATTGAATAGCCAGGGACGTATTCAGGATCAAATGAAAATATTTAAATTAAGAAAACTATTATCTATGGGTTTTACACATTGCCTGGAAACCTTGTATTTTGAGAAAATAATTTAGAATTTACTAAAAACACGGTATGTCGCTAGCCAGTGGCAGTGGTAGGAAAAATAATTTTTAGAGGTTAGGTTATGTTGTAGCTTTATTCTGAACCTCGCACTTAGTGGAATAAAGTAGTGATTTCAATTAAGATTCATTCAGAACCTCAAAATTACTGGAATAAATCAATGGTTTCAATAAGCGTAGAAGTTTGTTCCTCTAATATCAATGTAAGCATTCACAACGTCAAAATTAGTAGTAATAATGTTCAATTAGTGGAAAAAGTTAAAAGTTTGTTAACTTTTTCGACTAATTGAAGATTGCTACCACTAATTTCGACGTTGTGAATGCTTACATTAATCAATTATACTTCAAAAGTTGCGAGGAATGTAATTTTGGCCTTTGATTATCATCCGTCAGGAGAAATTGTGGTTAGAAATCATAAGTTTTAAAAAATGTCTATACCTAATTGGCGGATTCATCTCTCCAAAAAATCCTATATAGGTATTTCGAATTAAACAACATAAAGATCTTAAAGGGAGATTTTCACAAATCTAAGATTTGTCAGCATTCATGGGACACAGGGCACAGAATAAATTTTAATAACGCCAAAATTATAATGAAAGAATTTTTTTAATACAATCTAATAAAAATAAATGTATTGGTGATGCATCTGTAGATGTTAGTAATGTATGGCAATCGCTTCTTTGATTTTAAAGATCATAATATACTACGTAAAAATTAAAAATAATCATACAGGAAGTTTGGGGCTTTTTGGTTTTACCTTATTAAGTAATTGTTATCAGGTAGTAATTGTTAATTTTGAAGTTTAACTTGATATAATGTCATTTTAACAGAACGCCAACGATTTTTGTAGACGAATCTGTTTTAAAAAACTAAAGTGTTCTCGAATAGTTCAATTTAAATATTTTAAATAGTTTTTTTCTTCATTCTTTGTATTTTTTTTGCTTCCGACGACGGAAATAGAAACTTTCCAAAACGTTAAGCATTTTGGCGAAATACCTATATAGGATTTTTTGGAGAAATCATAAGTTTATTGTTTTATAAGCTAAATATTAAGCTTTCTCTATGGATACACTAACTACAGCAAGCTGTTGGTTTGAGAATTATTGTAAACTATTCCACTAACTACGAGGTTCTAAATGAGTTTTTACACTTTATATTTTTTAGTTTACGATCCTTCACAATGTATAAAAACACAATTAAAATTAATAGAATATCCTAGCAACGCTTGCGTTAGTCAGTTGTATCCATAGAGAAAGCCTAAGATTTAGCTTATAAAACAATCAACTTTTGATTTGTAATCCAATAAAAAATAAAGCATTTTTGTACGAAAAAAAACCTGAGAAACCAAACCAAACCATACTAGCTAACGCTCGTCCATCAAACGTACAACCTCGCCACAAAAATTATCATTTTTACTTCAATAAAACAATATACAAACTATTAAATGCCTGTAATGTGATTTTAGCAAAAAAAAACACTATTTTCATTCCTTTTGTTGGCATTTTTAACGAACTAATTTGGCTCCCCGTCAAAAAGAAAACTAACAAAACCCATCTCGCAGGCTTTTGCAAACTGCGAGGGTAAATAATTTATTTAAGCGATCAGATTACCGTTTTCGCCCAAGTAATATCTCCGAAATAAGCCTCGACTGTTTGCCGCCGCCCGTCGTCTCTTTTAGTCGTCGCGACGCCCCCGGGCTTTCGGGGATTTCATTAAACGCGGATTAATAAATTTACACAGAAGACAGACAGACAAGCGTCCCTCCCGAGGCTCTCTCGGTCGGAGGTTACATGCTAAATTGTACGAGGAGTTCGTAAAATGTACTGATATCTGAAGGTGTAAGTGGAACGATATTAAAAGTCCAACTTGTCTTTGTTCCTCCTAATATTGGCCCATTTTCAAGACGGTGTTTCACCTCTAAGGTCGTATTCAACAACAAGTGGCGAAGTTGATATTATCAACTTCGCCGCTGGTTGATAAATATAACGCTTTGGATATTTTAGAAGTGTGGTCTGGATTTTAACGTGTAAGACAGTGATGTAGGCAGCTTAATAGAAAATCTATTAGAAGTGAGTGAAGATTGAACGAGTATTAAAAATGAGTCGTGAGATTCGATTCACCGTTTAGAATACGGTTCGTTCAATTGAATCGTGGCCAGCAAGGATCCATAAAATCTGAACGAACGAGTCGTAATAATTGTATCGGATCGCAATGCGACTCGTTCGTTTATACGGCTCGTTCGTTCAAAGAGTCGTGAGAATTGATTCACAGCTTACAATACGCTTCGTTCCATTGAATCGTGGCCAGCACGGATCCATAAAATTTAAACGAACGAGTCGTAAGAATTGAATCGGATCGCAAAGCGACTCGTTCGTTTTTACGGCTCGTTCGTTCAAAGAGTCGTGAGAATTGATTCACTGCTTACAATACGGTCCCAATTGAATCGTGGTCAGCACGGATTCATAAAATTTGAACGAACGAGTCCTAAGAATTGAATCGGATCGGAATGCGACTCGTTCGTTTCTACGACTCGTTCTTTAAAAGAGTCGTGAGAATTGATTCACTGTTTACAATACGGTTCGTTCAATTAAATCGTGGCCAGCACGGATCCATAAAATTTAAACGAACGAGTCGTAAGAATTGAATCGGATCGCAAAGCGACTCGTTCCTTTCTACGGCTCGTTCGTTCAAAGAGTCATGGGAATTGATTCACTGCTTACAATACGGTTCGTTCGATTGAAATGTGACCAACACGGATCCATAAAATTTGAACAAACGCGTCGTAAGAATTGAATCGGATCGCAATGCGACTCGTTCGTTTCTACTGCGATTCACTGCTTACAATACGGTTCGTTCGATTGAATCGTGGCCAGCACGGATCCATAAAATTTAAACGAACGAATCGAAGGAATTGAATCGGATCACAATGCGACTCGTTCGTTTTTACGGCTCGTTCGTTCAGAGTCGTGAGAATTGATTCATTGCTTACAATACGCTTCGTTCCATTGAATCGTGGTCAGCACGGATCCATAAAATTTAAACGAACGAGTCGTAAGAATTGAATCGGATCGCAAAGCGACTCGCTCCTTTCTACGGCTCGTTCGTTCAAAGAGTCGTGGGAATTGATTCACTGCTTACAATACGGTTCGTTCGATTGAATCGTGGCCAACACGGATCCATAAAATTTAAACGAACGAGTCGTAAGAATTGAATCGGATCGCAAAGCGACTCGTTCGTTTTTACGGCTCGTTCATTCAAAGAGTCGTGAGAATTGATTCACTACTTACAATACGGTTCGTTCAATTGAATCCTGACCAGCACGGATCCATAAAATTTGAACGAACGAGTCGTATGAATTGAATCGGATCGCAATGCGACTAAATCAAGAACACTCATCACTAAACACAACTACTATTAATACCACCGCAAACCTGCCTTATAAGAAACATAAAAGATAAAAGAAAACACATTTCTTAAGTTTTCCCCGATACATCCTTACATTCCTTCAAACTAACCCCCGTCAAACCGGGTCTTCCGTACACGTCACTCCTAGAAATGTCATTCGTCTACCGCCCCCCTCTCCCCACCACCGCCTACAACGGTTTACGTCGAGCAAACAGCGATCTTGTAAACCCGCCAAAGCAATAAACTAACCTCCGTCGAGAGCTCCGATACCGGCAAAATCGATAAAACCTCAACCGGTCTGTTGGAGGATTGAAGGGGAGGAGGGAGAAAAGCCGGGGGTTAAAACGGGAGGCGGTAGGTAGGCAACCGCCCCCCTTTGAATGCCGCCAGTCACCTTTGCAGATCCCGCGTCTTTTTGTGTTTCTTTTTCCCGTTCTGCTCGTGTTACTGTGTATTTTCGAAAACAGATCTTTCACATAACTTTTCTTTCACATAAGTAGAAAGGATATCTAGGTATACAGGGTGATACCTCTAAATGTTGTATCCCTTTAGACAAAAAATACTAGCAAGAAAACTCTCTCTGCAGTGTTAAGGAAAAAGCCCTTAACTGATGCGTTGAACAAGTTACGGTCTTTCTTATATCTTTGTTCGCTGTTTGATTGTAAGGTGGGTGGACCATGGAAGGCCACTGTAATGAATAAACAGTTTTTATTAGTTCATTTGCTGGATAAATGAAAGAAACAAATTATTAATTAACACTTTGTTTTATTGTGTAACATATACACTACTTTTGTTTATTCTGGCTGTAATCATTATTTATTAAACTTAACTTTTATTCAGCTCTTCCAAATGGCCTTGCAAGGAGCAAGGCTCCATACAATGCCAATTTTATAAATCAGTCGTTCAACTTAAAACTAGAGTTGTAATAATCAAAATATTCGATTTTACTAAAACTACAAAAAAAGCTCTGTCATTTAAACGAAAAATAAAATGCTTAACATATTATAATCTTCTTTAAAAAATTCAACGAACATTCCTTGAACACAATCATATAACTAAGAATATATTAATGGAAATTATTTAAAAATTATAATAAT